TTGTGATTGGTCAACAACTTCCAGCGTCTTTCAGAAATGTCACGCTCCAAATGTAACCCTTTTTTTGCGTATATCTTGGGCGGGAATTATTTAAATGAGGAACATTGTGACGTGTTTGTTCCCAGAAGAAAACTCAAGTCTACAATGGAGGCGTTTCAGGGAGTTCAACTTCAGAAACAGTTTTTTTTTTTACTTTTCAGACCTTTTTCATGCCCGAAGCAACATTACACACTAAAGAAAGTATTTAAAAAAGCATTATAGGTCCTCTTTATTGAATGCGTCTATGTCCTTCCAGCTCAAGACCGTGTCAGAGTCTTTGGATGTATTATCTTTGTCTGGCCCTGTAAAAACTCTTTACCCACTTACATTTACTGAAATGAATCAGGTATGCCCGCATCTCATCTTAATATTTCTTCAGTAAATGTGAAGCTCTGTTCAGTAATGTAATGTTAGTGACAAATGCTTTGTCTCAGTCATTGTTTATGCTGATGCTTTTTTATGAGCTGTATTGTCTTATCTGTTTAATGATTATGGATGTCTCATTATCCCGTCAGGCTTTTGGCTTTATGCTGTATCAAACTGTGTTACCTGTGAACTGTTTGGAGCCCACCCCGCTGTCATCCCCTCTAAATGGAGTCCATGATCGGGCATATATATCCATTGATGGCGTAAGCAGCTCTGTTTTACTGAGTTACTCATAATCATAACCGATGTGATGGTTAAATGCTCTTAAGATAAAGTTTGCACAGAGATTTAAATCTAATTGGAAGTGTTTGCATAACACAACATTTTATAGAGTACACTGCAAGTTTGGGGTCAGTAAGTTTTTTTTTTTTAATTAATACTTTTATTCAGCAAGGACACATTTAATTGTTCAAAAGAATGGAATTTCTATTTAAAATAAATGCTGTTCTTTTGAGTTTTCCATTCATCAAAATAATCCTGAATAAATACATTGCTGTTTCCACAAGAATATTAAAGGGATAGTTCAGTTTGAAATTAATTTTTGGTATGTTTTAGCTTACCTCAAGGGCATCCAAGATGTTGGTGTCTTTGTTTCCGCAGTAGTTTCAATTTTGATATTTTTAGATCAAACCGTTCTTGTCTGTCAGTCATATAATGGAGGTCTATGGTCACCACCTCAAAGAGCATGCACAGAGAAGTCCAAATTAAACATGATTTAATGACTCGTAAATGTAAGTACACATTGATGGCCTAAGGCACGAAACGAGAAAATAGAAATAGAAATCGGAAATATTCCTCACAGGATAAAAATATATTCACATAGATGACAGTTATTTAAAATTGTAATAATATTTGACAATATTTTTCACTGATGAAATACATATGATAAGCTGAAGAGACTTCTTTCAAAAACAAGAACAGTAGTGTAATTATTTCATTTGATTCTGTGCTTCTTAAATCATTTCCTTTTTTAGGTTTCTGCTGGTATTTTGGAGAGGAACAAGGCACTCACCATGAATATAACTGGAAAAGCTGGCAGTCGTGTGGACATCCTGGTGGAGAACATGGGCAGAATCAACTACGGCAGAGAAATTAATGACTTCAAGGCAACCAAAACTTTATCCACTTCCCATTTTACTCATTCTCAGCAACTGTTCTAACCTGAGTTGTTATATGTTTTCTAACTAATCAGAATTACAGTTTTCCCGTAGCTGACAATCCCACAGAAATATTCACTCTTTTTCATTTTCTCTCTCTGTTCCTCAGGGTCTGGTGTTTAACCTGACTCTGGGCGCTGACGTTCTGGTTAACTGGACGGTGTACTCTCTGAGTATAGATGAAGCCGTGCGTAACGGGCTGTTGTCTACACCCTCCGCCAGTTTAACCACCACACCTCCTCCTGCTCTTTCACCTCCAACCTTCTACGCTGGCAGCTTCCACATCCCGGACGGCATTCCCGACCTCCCTCAGGACACATACATACAGTTTCCCAACTGGAGGAAGGTAGGACTCTTCACCGCTGCTGTCGGTTTTAACGAGATCTAGGGATGCGCGATATATCGGCCGCCATATCGGTATCGGGAGATATATGTTCATTTTTAATGAAAATTTGCCTGATATATTAAAGCCGATAAATAATGTATTATTTCTTTTAGCTGAGACACTTCAGATTTGAAATATGATTGTTTTCTTTAATTGTTTGAAATATGATTGGGAAAAGGGAAAATACTAGGGATGCATGGTATATCGGCCGCTATATCGGTATCGGCCAATATATGTTCATTTTTAATAATATCGGGCCGATATAAAAATTTGCCCAATATATTAAAGCCGATAAATAATGTATTATTTCTTTTAGCTGAGACACTTTAGATCCACACTGTTCGCCCATGATGGTTTTTAATTGTTTGAAATATGATTGGGAAAAGGGAAATTACTAAAGATGCATGGTATGTCGGCCACCATATCGGTATCAGCCAATATATGTTCATTTTTAATGTTATCGGCCGATATATTAAAGCCGATAAATAATGTATTATTTCTTTTAGCTGAGACACTTCAGATCCACACTGTTCGCCATGATGGTTTTTAATTGTTTGAAATTTTATTGGAAAAAGGGAAAATCCTAGGGATGCACGATATATCGGCCGCCATATCGGTGTCGGCCAATATAAGTTCATTTTTAATAATATCGGGCCGATATAAAAATTTGCCCAATATATTAAAGCCGATAAATAATGTATTTTTTCCTTTAGATGAGACACTTCAGATCCACACTTTTCGCCATGATGGTTTTTAATTGTTTGAAATATGACTGGGAAAAGGGAAAATACTAGGGATGCATGGTATATCGGCCGCCATATCGGTATCGGCCAATATAAGTTCATTTTTAATGTTATCTGCCCGATGTATTAAAGCCGATAAATAATGTATTATTTCCTTTAGATGAGACACTTCAGATCCACACTATTCGCCATGATGGTTTTTAATTGGTTGAAATTTTATTGGAAAAAGGGAAAATCCACGATATATCGGCCGCCATATCGGTAACGGCCAATATATTTTCATTTTTAACGTTATCGTTATCGGCCTAATTAGAAAATTTGGCTGATGTATTAAAGCAATAAATAATGGATTATTTCCTTCAGCTGAGACACTTCATATGCACACGTTCGCCATGATGGTTTTAATTGGTTTAAATATGATTGGAAAAAGGGAAAATACAGTTAAGTGAAACATGTGCTGCGCACGTCTGTCAGTAGGCTACATAAAATTAAACTACATAAAATGGCTTTTAATGATGAGACTTTTGTTTTTGTAATTATAAATTCACAAATTATATAGAAATTTAGATTTGGGTTTAGATTTATCGGCCGATATATCGGTTATCAGCTTTCAAATATAAATAATTATCCATTATCCGGACAAAATTTTCATATCCGTGCCTCCCCTAATGGGATCCATTTACAAATGTGAAGAGATTAGCTTAGGTGAAATTTTAAAGGATCATGAAATGCTTTTTTTATTCCAGGGTCAAGTGTGGATTAATGGTTTTAACGTGGGCCGCTACTGGCCTTCCCGCGGGCCACAGGTGACCCTCTTTGTCCCAGCCCACCTGCTCAGCACCTCCGTTCAAAACAACATTACTGTTCTGGAGCTGGAGGCGGCACCGTGCTCCTCGGGTTCCTGCGTGGTGGAGTTCACAGACACTCCGGTCATAAACGCCACGGTGAAGACAACCGGCCAGCACATGAGACGGCTGTTCGAAAAACAAGACCTCTTATGATTTTACCGACCAAAACACGCAGAATAATCTTAGAACAATTCATTTGCGTCACACATTTTACTTATCTGAAGGAATCTGAAGGGATATGACATCTATCGGCTCTATATGGACAACATTAAAACTATCATTTATAATCACTGTGAATTTACAGTAAAATCAAAGCCGCTCAGGGATTTTAATTTGAGTGCACTAGATCCTCTCATGGTGCTGTTCACATTATTTCCTACTTTTATTTTGCACTTTTCATTATTTTGAATAATACTAGAAATCTCACCTTTCATTTTTGGATGAACTTGTTACATTCAGTCAAGCGGTTATTACGTATGAGTGATTTTATTTTTGCACCACATTTGACATGCCTTGTAATGTATCATGATGAAATGATGTTGAATGACTTTTTAATTGTATTATTGAAGCCTTACAGAAATCCATGGTTTGTGTGTAAATTAAACTGCACTATTTTATTCACGCAGTCTTTATCTGAGATGTATAGTGATATATGGTTTGTTTTAAGGGTCTAGAAATGTTTAAAATTTACCAGAATTTAGTTTTTATGTGTACTGCAATTCTGCAGAAGGCAAACTTTTTTTTTTTACTTTCTTCTTCCTTTTTTTTGCCCTCTCTTTTGGTTAGGATGTGTGAAAACCTAAAAGACACTTTCAACATGCATCTCATCTCATACTACGCCTGACTGAAAATGATCAAACCCTTTAAAAATAATTGATGTCAACACTGACACCAAGCACATTTTGGATTTCATTTTAAGAAATTTAGACACCATTTATTGTCCAAAGGTCTTTTTCTGCAGCTGAACCTCTCTCATTGAAATTCGTAATGACCCGTTAAATGTTTCTCGTTAAATTTTGCACAATTTTTTTTTTTATTTGCATTATGTACAGAACAAGACAGGGAACATACAAAAACTGTAAGACACTTCCATTTAGATCAATACAAAGTATGGATTTAGAAAGAAGAAGAAGGGAAAAAAAGCAAGGGTCAAGGGTAAAAACAATCACATAGCCAGTATACATGAAAGGAATTAAAATACTAAAAAAGTAAATATTTTGATAAAGAGAGACATAAGGTTTCAAACTTTCTATTACGTTTTTTGAAATATTTGAAGCTCTGAAACATTTGAGTAAAATCCCATAGAAATATATTAAAGGAGGGCTTACATTTTTTCCATTTACAAGTATATTAAGTTTGCACATTCTTCAATCTTCACCCAGATTCGGCAATTTCTCGTGACGTGAACTAATCGCTCTCGTGCGGATTGAGGTGATGTGCACGCGCATACGTATGCGTAACCGGAACAGAGTCGTCATCAGCGCGCTGGGTTTGCTCAATATGGTAAGTGACAATCGCAAACCGTTTTAATTTATTTATACAAAAAAACATTCGGGTATTGTTGTTCTAAATAGAAAATTTCATTGGTAACTTATTAGAAATACAGAACACTCAAAATTTATATACGTTATTTTTATTCGTCAAAGTCTCGAGTATCATGTCGCTAAAAATGCTAAAAACACACTAGCCTGTTAGCTTTTATGCTAGTCAACGAACGTCAAGCAACTTTAATGTATGAAATACTGAGCATTAGGCTATTGTGTCGGTTAAATAGTTCAAAATTGTATTAAATGTCGAATAATATGCCTTTTGTGCATTTAAAGGCTTATTTTATTATCTCGTTTTCTGAATATTATAGGCAGAGCCCGTTTCTAATGAAGTGTTTGACTTGTTTTCCTTTATTACTTTATTGGACATAACTCTCATTTTAAGGGGTTTATCAATGAATATACTTTTCAATGCCCAGGGAACGAAAAATATAGTTGACATACAATAAAACCGTTTAAAAAAAAAATATTATGAATGACCATTTTGAATGTATCGAGTTGTTAGAAATGTTAAGTGTTGTTATTATAGCTACTTTAAAAAAATTAGAAGTCACTATCAAGTACAGTGACTAAACACAGTTTAATTTGCTGTAATTGCCAGTTTAGTGACTTTTATCTGAAACAGATTAGCCTGTACTACAAAAATTAGTGTAGACTATCCTAAAACTGGGATAGTCTTTATCAAACGTACTCTAGGACTCCTCCCTGTCCTTAATAGCTCTGTTTTTCAGCTATGTACCTTGTGATTAAACATGTCTTTGTTTGACTTCTTTGTGATTTAATTACACTTCTCTCTGTTTCAGATGACACACTTCTTTAGATCTCAAGAAGGATGGCGTCCATGAAGAAGTGATCTGACTTTCTGCCATGGATATCACTGGAAGATAAAAATGAAACTTGACTTCTGTTTAAAACAACAAATCATATGATCGATTTCCTCACACTCATCTACTAAGTAGTTAATTTTTTGGCTATCTGAAAGTTGTTTTTTAATATTACTACATCATCAAAACAATGGTGGACAACCGCTACGCCACCGCGCTGGTCATCGGCTCTGTGCTGAGCCTTCTTGCCACCGTCTATCTCTCTGTTGCAATGGGAACGCAGCACTGGTTCCAGTACCACAGTCAGCCGGCCAGCAACGACGTCAACAACGGCTCAGACCTGCACAGCCTGCGGCAGGACTTTGAGGGAGAGGACGTGGATGAGAGGAGCTACAGTGTTGCTTTGTTCCGGTTGAATGGCACACTGGGTCTCTGGTGGCGCTGCATTCTGGTGCCCCGAAGCTCACACTGGTTTAAAGAGCCTGGTGAGGAGAGGATGTTCAACTTTGTAATTTATGTTTATGTATTCATTATTTATTATTGGGTTAATAACTGATGCTAACTTCCTTTGGCTTTGTCTCTCTCCTGGCTCTCCACATCCGTCTTTTCCAGATCTGATAATGGTGACTAAATGTCAGGCCTTTACTTTGCCCCAGCAGTGGGAATCCAAGTTCATATCTCCTGGAAATATTAACAGTGGAGAAGATCTGCTGCGTACATGTACGTCCTCCTAACTCAAAATATTCAATTTTATATATGCACTAGTACTACTGTTTAAAAGTTTGGAAATTGTTGTAAATGTTTATATATACATACAGATAGAAATTAATAGTTTTATTCAGCAAGGATGCATTAAATTGAGCAATAAGAAATGTTTATAGAGCATCAAATCAGCAGATATCTGAAAGATCATGTGACAATGAAGACTGCTGAAAACTCTGCTTTGATCACAGGAATAAATTACATTTTACAATATATTCACACCTAGTAAAGTTATTTTAAATTGTAATACTATTTCACATTATTACTGTTTTTACGAATTTTTTGGATCAAAAACAGCCTAGGAGAGCAGAAGAGACTGAATTCAAAAGCCTAAAATAATCTTACCAAAACCAAACTTTTGAATGGTTTATCTATCTTTCTGTCCATCTGTCTATCTGTAAAAGTCATATACAGTGTTTGTTTCAACCAGCATCAGCGAGTGGCAAGACGTTTTGTAATTTGCGTTGTCATTATGTTCTGAAATCCTTCAGATGTTTGTGTGTGTGTGTGTCCTCAGACCTGTGGAAGTGTCAGTTCCTGTTGCCGCTGATCTCTGTTGGACTGGTGTTTCTCGCGGCATTGATCGGAGTGTGTGCCTGTCTTTGCCGCAGTGTCACTCCCACCCTGTTCGTAGGGATCCTGCATCTGCTTGCCGGTAAGACAGCTGTACATTAGGGGTGTAACGATACCCTCATGTCACGATTCGATACATATCACGATACTGAATTCACGATACGATATTTTGCGATACTCCAGGACGTATGGTAAAAGGTTAACAAAAAATGTACTGTTGTTTTAAAATGCTAAATTTGTAGGGGTGTAACGATACACTCATGTCACGATTCTATACATATCACGATACTGAAATCACGATACGATATTGCGATACTTCAAGACATGATTAAAGGTTAACAAAAAATGTACTGTTGATTTAAATGCTAAATTTGTAGGGGTGTAACGATACACTCATGTCACGATTCGATACATATCACGATACTGAACTCACGATACGATATGATATTGCGATACTTCAAGACATATGATTAAAGGTTAACAAAAAATGTACTGTTGATTTAAAATGCTAAATTTGTAGGGGTGTAACGATACACTCATGTCACGATTCTATACATATCACGATACTGAAATCACGATACGATATTGCGATACTTCAAGACATGATTAAAGGTTAACAAAAAATGTACTGTTGATTTAAATGCTAAATTTGTAGGGGTGTAACGATACACTCATGTCACGATTCGATACATATCACGATACTGAACTCACGATACAATATTTTGCGATACTCCAAGACATATAGTAAAAGGTTAACAAAAAATGTACTGTTGATTTAAAATGCTAAATTTGTAGGGGTGTAACGATACACTCATGTCACGATTCGATACATATCACGATACTGAACTCACGATACGATATTTTGCGATACTCCAAGACAACAAAAAATGTACTGTTGATTTAAAATGCTAAATTTGTAGGGGTGTAACGATACACTCATGTCACGATTCGATACATATCACGATACTGAAATCACGATACGATATTATTGCGATACTCCAAGACATATGATTAAAGGTTAACAAAAAATGTACTGTTGATTTAAAATGCTAAATTTGTAGGGGTGTAACGATACACTCATGTCACGATTCGTTACATATCACGATACTGAACTCACGATACGATATTGCGATACTTCAAGACATGATTAAAGGTTAACAAAAAATGTACTGTTGATTTAAATGCTAAATTTGTAGGGGTGTAACGATACACTCATGTCACGATTCGATACATATCACGATACTGAACTCACGATACGATATGATATTGCGATACTTCAAGACATATGATTAAAGGTTAACAAAAAATGTACTGTTGATTTAAAATGCTAAATTTGTAGGGGTGTTTTGATACACTCATGTCACGATTCGATACATATCACGATACTGAAATCACGATACGATATTGCGATACTTCAAGACATGATTAAAGGTTAACAAAAAATGTACTGTTGATTTAAATGCTAAATTTGTAGGGGTGTAACGATACACTCATGTCACGATTCGATACATATCACGATACTGAACTCACGATACGATATGATATTGCGATACTCCAAGACATATGATTAAAGGTTAACAAAAAATGTACTGTTGATTTAAAATGCTAAATTTGTAGGGGTGTTACGATACACTCATGTCACGATTCGATACATATCACGATACTGAAATCACGATACGATATTTTGCGATACTCCAAGACATATGATTAAAGGTTAACAAAAAATGTATTGTTGATTAAATTGCTAACTTTGATATTACATTGTGGGTTTAAATGAATAGGCTTGGACATGGTTCTTGTAACCCAAGGACAATGGAGACACCAGAATAACAATATTCATTATTCTGAAGCTGAAATTTCTGAGTTATTGTAGATGAATATGCTTTCACGCTTTCACTGACTAGACATATTTAAAATAATGTCGGTCACTTTTTACTGGTAACATCAGACGTTTGGCATTATCGGGACCCACAGATATTCCCCCATTGCATTATTATAGAAAACTATCGTGGATAGTCTCCCCAAAATAAAAATTGAAAAATAAAAATAAAAATTTTGGGGAGACTATCCACGATGCAGATTGTCACTATTCATGCGATATATGTATTGCGATATATTGTGGCACGATATATTGTTACACCCCTACTGTACATTATGGAAGAATGATAATAATAACAATCACAGCTATTTCCAGAGCTCCCCGACAAAGAAAGCATTACATTTAAACGTTTATTTTGCTCCCAGGCCTGTGTACTGTGGCCACGGTATGCTGTTTCCTCGCGGGCGTGCATCTGCTACATAATATATCAGAGCTTCCCGAGGGTATGGACTACTCTCCGGGCTGGTCCCTGTTTTTGGCCCTGATCTCGTCTCCGCTGCAGATCATGGCTGCTGCGCTCTTCATATGGGCTGCGAGGAGTCACCGCCAACACTACACTCGAATGACAGCCTACAGGGTTGCCTAGGCAACAGTGTACTAACTGTAGAGTTGCCGAAGCGATTGCTTCAGCAGCTGCTTTTACCACTAACCTAGTAGCTGTTATTTACAAAAGTTATGAAGGAAACGGTCTGAACACACCACCCAAAGTTAGTAGGTTAAACCAGCGCCGTCCACTCATAGCACTCTCCTGTGAATACTTGCATCTCTTGAAGGATCTTCCTACTATATAACTGCCTTTTTAACCACTCTGTTGACATCTTTGCTGTTTGAGAGGAGAAACTAAACCTATAATAATCAAGTCACACTCCAGTAGTTCTTCAGGGCTTCATCATTTATTTAGACGCATTTAACCTGTTGACTAAACTTATTTAGATGTGGTAGTTTCGTTTCCTCTGTGTTTTAAAAAAACACCACCGCCTGTTTTTGTAGCTATTTTAGCACTGTCCAATCCCAAGATGCACTAGGGTTTTTGCCTTGGCCTTGGCCTGAAAGACTGAATGTTTCCATCTGTCATTATTACCACTCGAGCCTTTTGTGTTTTCCTGAACATTCGTTGTGCTTATTTATTGCTTTGTTTCTTGTGCTTTACATTGGTTAAACTGTTTACCATTTAGTCTCTCTTTGAGAATGTATTACATTATGAATATTATATTTGTTTGGTAACTTTGTTTAGAATCCAATTATGTTTTGTGATGGTTCAGGTAGCCATTTAAAACCATCTCAGCTGTGGTTTATATTCTTATTTATACTTTATTTGAAACGTTAATTTTCTCAACACGGTTCGCCTCAGTTTAACAAAATTCCTAGGCAATTTTTGGCATATAAAGCCAAAAATTCAGTAGCACCTCATTGCAGTACACGAGATCCAGGGGGCGGAGTTGGATCCAGATCTGTGGAGTGGAGTTGGATAGGTTTAGGGGTGGGTTTAGGGATCAGGGGGTAGAGCTGGGTAGGTTTAGGGATTTAGGGGTGGGGCTGGGTAGGTTTAGGGATCAGGGGGTGGAGCTGGGTGGATTTAGGGATCGGGGGTGGAGCTGGGTAGGTTTTGGGGTGGGTTTATGGATCAAGGGGTGGAGATGGGTTGGTTTAGGTGTACGTAAGGTGGGAGGAGTTGGATCTGGATCCGACTCCTCCCTGTGGATTTCATGTTCTGCAGTGAGGACCATCTCCAAAAATTAGCAAATGAACCTCAAATGAAATTATGGTTAAGGTAGCATTTGAAGTTTGTGTATATCACGCACAGCTGCATATAAAAGACTGTTGATGTCTTTCGGTCAGTTGTAAAATTTACCCAAGATTTCACTAGGATCATATTGTAAAACGATATGGGAAAAATCACAGTGTACATCCAGCTCCAGTTGATTTCATCGTGCCACAACATCTATTCTCTGTTGTAATATTTTGAGATCGTGTTCTGTTTTTGTCTTTTTATTCTAAGCCTGTGAGAGGCTTGGTTTTTTCAAAGCATTCAGGTGAGAGCAGCAGCATATGAGCAATACAGTCAAGAGGATACCTCACACGCCACAGCCCAATGTGACACAATCATGACGGTGTCTCAATTACTTCAGATGGTTTTGCCTTTTTTATACAGTTTTGTAAGCATTCCTGATAAATGAACATTTTGCTGGTCACAATAAATATCTTTTCATCCAAAATATTGTTGTTCATTATTTTAGCAGTAGATCAAAATGAGCCATTGATTGTCATATAAAATTATTGTACCAAGTGTATACCTGAGTTATAAGTGACTGAAGTTTTTTAAATCATTTTAGTGACATTCTGTCATTCATTTCACAGTAAAATCATCTGATTGATGGTGGATGGTTTGGGAATCATACCGAATAATATATTTACTATATTTTTAAATATAATTATATATGTAATTTATTTTCTTCTTCAGTCTTTCTTCACTTGCACCGTTGGAATCGTCAGCTTCAACTTTTTTGCCAAGTGAAAAGCGATTCCCTTTTCGTAGTAGGCACACTCATTGATAAAGAAAGGGTGAAGGGACTCTTCTTCTTCATACTTCACAGTTTCTCCAGAAAATGACAAAAACAAAGGGTCACCCCGCTTGAGGAGACAGAAGTCCCTGTCCTAGACAAAAAGATCATGAAAAAAACTATTCAGATTTTTGGTTGTGTTACTCAAATATGTTATGTTTTATCCTAAATCAAAAGAAAATACATTTTATTTTGCCCAAAGACAAATATTTTTTAGTCCTTTAAGAATATATACATTGTGATATTCTGTAATTTACAAAGTATGTTTTTTTTATATAGACATCATATAAAGGAGTAGTTCACTTTTAAAAAAAACTTTTGCTGATAATTTTCTCACCCCCATATCATGCAAGATGTCCATGTCATTCTTTCTTCAGTCAAAAAGAAATTAAGGTTTTTGATGAAAACATTCCAGGATTTTTCTCCATATAATGGACTTCAATGGGAACCAAACGGTTCAAGGTCCAAAAGACAGTTTCAATGCAAACTGTTCAAAGGGCTTTAAACGATTCCAGACGATGAATAAGGGTCTTATCAAGCGAAATGATCACTCATTTAAAACGTAAATAACAAAGTTTAAGTTTTATAAGCTCAAATGCTCGCCTTGCTCTATTCTGTGATGCATGTTCGTGACTCTCCTATTCGAACTCGTTCATCAAAATGAACGAATCTTTTTTTCGAGTCAGTTCATTCATTTCGTTGTTGAATGAACCAAATAACTCAACAAAAAAAAAAAAGATTTGTTCTTTTTCGTCCCTTTGAACAGTTTGCAGTTGCACTGAAACTGTCTTTTGGACCTTGAACCGTTTGGTTCCCACTGAGGTCCATTTTATGGAGAAAAATCCTGCAATGTTTTCGTCAAAAACCTTAATTTTTTTTCGACTGAAGAAAGACAAGAATTAAATGAATTAACATTTATGAATTAAATTATGAATTAAAATTTTACCATTAATAATTTTTTTTTCGTTATCACGATGAGATTTTCTTTCTCCATCAAAGTAAGAAAAATGGGGCCCTCAAATATGCTTAAGTTTCTTATGACCTGAACATTTTTGCTGATTCTGTGTGTAAATATAATAAACAGCAGAACGATCGGCACCTGCAGCTGAGGATGAATAGCAGCCGTGAGAGTCCGAGTCTCGGGATCTCTGGGATAATCAATACTTTTGATAAACTTGAAGGCTTCCATATCCCCGCCTTCAAATACTGTTCCTGAAAGCAAAATAAAACACACTCACTTCTATAATAGTGCAGAAAATACATAAGTGAGCCACATTTGGTTAGCTCTTACCTGAGTTGAACTTGTGGATCCAGTCTATTGTCATGTCGACGGCCTCTTTCATAATCAAATAGATGTCAGCCCTGACGACACCGTGTGGCTGCGGCCCGACCTCTATTGCTGCAGAAACACAGGTCATGATTATTGTCATTCGAGCGTGCGTTTGCGTATGAGTATTCGAAGGAGATTATCACCATCACTTACAAAAGCCATGCTTGGAGACAGACTCCAAGGAATATGCATCACTAATCGGGACATCCATTACCAGAACTCTCACAGGCACTTTGGTTATCTTAGTCTTAAACGTGTAGATGACAACACACAACATCAAAATACACATTCACAGACACAAAACAAAACCTAGTCTACTCATGGAATTTAAATTGGCACATAAACAAAAATCCAGGTCTGTGGTTCTTAACTGGTTTTACTTCAGGACAAAGATTTTACATTTACAATTATTATTATTTTTTTGCTATGCATTATTATATAGTTTGTTTGCTTTCCTCATAGTTTCCCCCCCTACTCACAACAACAGCCCACCAGCTGAGATCCCCTGACCTGGTTAACAGAGTTTATTGACACACACTTGTGTTGTGATGCTCTTGCCTGTAAGTATTTGCAGATGTGCATGGTCGCCCAGTCACTGGTTGTGTAATGGATGAGTGTGAGGCCCATGTTAGATGTGGTGTTATGGAGGTCACAGATCATGTCTATTGCATCTGCAGATCCTTTCAGTCCCAGCAGATTGTTCAGTTCCTGAGCGCGTCGGACTTCATATGGGCTGCTGTCTGTCAGTGAACTTCAAGATAAAGAGGACAGATTTACATGCACAATGCAATATAGACTATTTACTTGCTTTGCAATTATAGGCCTGGAAGCCTTAATGTTATTTATTTATAATGAATATCATATTTTCATAACCTGTGAAACACCTTGGTCAACTTTGGTTGTTTTAAGTGTGCTATATATAAATAAAATTTGATTGATTGTTCGTTAACTCAAACAGACACGTTTATTAACTTATTTTAAAATGTAAAGGTTATAGAGCTGTGTATCAGTCGTAATAATCTTTCTTTAATTTAATTGGTCATGGCTAAAATTCTGCCTGACAACCGCGCTGATTGGTAGAAAATTTCCCAACGGTCAAGTCTGACGACAACAAACAAACTCATCGTCGTGAATGAGTATCACCCTGGGGCCGAGGATAACGTTACAATGGTAGGTAAACGTTGTAAAATACGCATAGCCAACATTTTTTTAATCGACTAAACGTTTTATTCTAATGTTATTAGCCAGGAATCACGTTTGAGTTAATAGGTTTCTGTACGTTAATGACATCGGAGCGCGAGTAAGATTTCTCGGTCAAACCATGCCAATTTATCACAAATTAATATACTTTTATTTAATGTAGATAATAATATTTTATTCAATATACAACATTTTATTCAAGTTCAGCTTTGAAATGTTTGGGATAAACGTATTAAAGTTGATGTGAAGCTTTTTTTAAATTATTTTTATCGAATCGTATAGCTGGCGAATATATATGCTGCAGTCTCTCAACTCACCTCAGCGTGGCTGTGCGAAAGCAGCGGTTCATATCCGTGTCAATATATCTTCTGCACTCTTTCACAGCCCGCGGGTTTGACAGCAGAGTTTTCACAGGAATCGGCCACACACTGTCGCCCTTCTCCTTCCGCTGTCTCTCCATCTCCTGCACCAGATACACACCTGACAGCTCATTGCCATGAGTCCCACCACATACGGCCATGCGACCCAGTGCTGGCAGGAACACCGATGCCATCTACAACACAAAAGTGAGTTGAGTATTCAAATGCCACCACAAGAGAAAGCGGTGTGTCCTTTATAAGTTGAGTTCTATGGCTAACACAAATATGACTTCCATTATAAGAGCAGTGCACTTACTTGAAACCTGTTCTTTGTTTTTACAAACGAAAGGAGACAAAACTTTCTGTGCCACAACTGCAGTCCATAGAGCTTAACCTGTACTGAAACCTATGGCTATTGTGATTCAAACTGACAATATGATGTCATTATGTTGTTGATGATTTGTAGTTGTAGATCATTGGTAAACCGTCATTAGTTATCCCACAACAGAGGTCAACTGAACTCTCTTTGGGGAAGAGAAAGCATGGCAAGTCACACATTGACTATTTTGCATGGTTGGCACAAAAGAATACTGAAAATTAATCAGAACAGAAAAAAGTCGTAAACAATTATTAACTGAAAATTCAGAAAAACAGGGTTAATGTTAATCAAACGAGTAGGGCATTGTTACAATTGTTAACTAGAACTATAACTAAAGCCACAAAGAATGTGTTACTTGAATCAAAATAAATGCTTACTTTTCACTTCGACTATTTGAGCTTATAAAACTTAAACTTTGTTATTATTTTTTTTAAAATGAGCGATCGTTTCACTTGATAAGACCTTTATTCATCGTCTGGAATCATTTAAAGCCCTTTGAACAGTTTGCACTGAAACTGTCTTTTGGATCTTGAACCATTTGATTCCCATTTAAGTCCATTATATGGAGAAAAATCCTGAAATGTTTTCATCAAAAACCTTCATTTCTTTTCGACTGAAGAAAGAAAGACATGGACATCTTGGATGACATGGGGGTGAGTAAATTAGCAAAAGTTTTTTGTTTTTTTTAAAGTGAACTACTCCTTTAACTGAAATAAAATATTAAAAATCCTTATTTTATTTAAGCAAGTTGCCGAAGCGACATTTCTTATTTTGGTTTAGTTAAACTTGAAATATTATTAGAATGAAAATTATTAGAGACAATATATAAAAGAAATAATTTTAAAAAAGTGTTAATGGAAAATGTTCCCTTTTATGGATAAATCCAAAAAAAATCCACTTGGAGTTGTGTAGGAAAAACTTATCTTATAAACGGAGACAAAAGACGTGTCACTGCTTTCTTTAGTAGAAAGTTTGAATGTCTTTGATCACATTACTTCAATCAGCAAGAATCTTTCCTAGAATTACATTTAAAAATGTATTTTTTTTGTTACTAATAAAATTACTGGCCAACTATCAGTTAACTATATTTATTACGCCAACGTTTAATCAATGTGTGTATACCTTTAAGAATGGGATGGTATTGGTATTGGTATTGGTATTAGTTCATTAAACTCATTGCTAGAGGGAGTTTAGCTGTGTCCATTCAGAATGAAGTATTCTGTTGCTCGGTCAACAATGTACATTTATTGAAGCTCATTACGATCTGTCTCACAATCTACAACAACATGCAACATATCTAAGCAAAAGCTGCAGAGACGAAAGGAAAACCTCCTACCTTTATTTTTAAGGCAGAGGTATGTTGTTTCAGTGCTTCTTCCAAGTGCTTTCTCTCTAATCGTCTTACTGAGTGAAGTTGCATAAGGCATCGGAGACCTTTGGACACATACGGTGAGGTGTGACGGCATGCACATTGACACACATTTAGCAAGTACTGGCCTAATCTAGCTGCAGGGGATGCACCTACACACACACACACACACAGTTTAAGGCATTCTTCCACATTTGCTCATAAAACAGTAAAGTAACATATAAAGCCATTATTTACCTCCTCCTCCTCTGCCTCGCCTTCAGTCACCAGCCTTGGATCATCTTTCACACATGATGTCCCAGCAACTCTTTAGCCCTGGCCATGAATCTCCAGCATGAAGCCAGTGTTTCGCTGACTCATGCATGCGTTAAAAAGAGAGTGTGTGGAGGAAAAGCAAGAGGGGGAGGAGAAACATGACAACTGAGAGGACTGAAGATCTTACAGATTATTACCGAAACATTACGACTGTGCGTAATGACAGGGAAAGGCGTGGAAGCGTTTCACACCGAACCAGTATTTCCTGCCAGAGCTTCCTCTAACTTTCCTCAGGACATGAACAGCTGCTGTGTGTTAGAAAATGACATGGCCAATATCTAAACCAAAATGAACACAGTAAGAGCAATACAAATCAACAAATGCACAGAAGTGTATGAAGTATATGAAGAGTTCAGATGCAAAAGCCTCTAAATGCCATTTGAAATTTTCTTCTTTAATGAGGATTTTTATCAAACTTGTATATTTAAGTTCAGTAATTTCACTTAAATAACAATTAATAGGTAAAATTAATAGGTAAGTGAAATCACTGAGCTTAAATATACAAGCTTGATAAAAATGATCATTCTTGAAGAAAATTTCAAATGGCATTTAGAGGCTTTTGCATCTGAACTCTTCATATAAACTCTTGTCCAAAATCGTCTTAACTGCAATTTCAGTTTCCACGGGACTTAACATTGCCAGGGGCATTATTTACTCTAGATTGTGACCTCACTTTGCCGGCACGATACCAGCGAGCAAGTTGCAGCTAGCGTTACGGACGGTGCGTGCATAGCAGAATGCCCGTTTTCAGTTCATTCCAATGAAAGTTTAATTTGTGAAGCTCAACTTCCTCGAATGAATTGATAACGCACCAGTGTGCACGCACAGTCAAACAGTAACAAACATGGCGACGGCAAGCGTGAAGATGTTGACGTTGACTCATTCAAATCGGAGGTGTGGTGGCATTTTGACTTAGAATAACTTTGAATTTTGATTAATAATCACTGTGAGAAGCTCCGGTCACCACCGTCTGCATGTAAATAGATAGGCTAAACCACACTGACCGGCGAATATACATCCCCACTCACGGCGACGAGTGCGAGATCCATGCAAATCACTAGGTGCATCTTTGTTTTCAAAGCTGTGCTATCTCTTTTTCTAAATGTGTACATGGATTCTGTTTTTAAAATAATATGATTAATATGGCATATGTTTCTAATTGTGTTCTGTTTTTCTAACTCTTGCAAGTCTAATGATAGAATTTATAAGAAATAATTGTAAAATCTTTCATTTATAACAATGTGAAACAATGTCACTGTTGTACTTAAATTTAACTTAGTCTTTGCCTTTATTTGTTATAATTTTGATGATTATGGCTTACATCTTATGAAAACCCCAAATTCAAGTTTACAATATTGTGAAAAGGTTTTTATAGCTATAAGCCATAATCATCAAAATTATGCAGGTTATGTGAGACTTTTCTCTCAAATGGTGACTTCAAATGGTAGTTTCCATTTGAAGTCACTGATAACCAATAAATTCGTATTTTTATATTATAATATTCATATAATCAGTGGTTTGTACACCCAGGAGAATAGAAAATCTAAGATGCACTGATTAAACTGATATTTTAGTAGCTCTGGCCTGTAGCAAACACCAGTCCTGACTCTTTAAATGTTGTGATTTTTTGAGCAAGCCACCACAATACTTAGTAACGGAAGGGGTTTAACAGAACTATGGCTTATTTGCACTTATTTGCACAACTCATTAACAACACATTTATATTCTAGTGTTTCATGCATAACAAAGAAATGCATCTATTCAACCTTTAGTGCATGAGGATGAGGAAGGTTTATAGCCTTTAAGTCACATGTTTTTCAAATGCATAAATAAAATGAATTGACATTTGTCAACCTCGAAATAAAATTTAAAAACAAAAGTGCATCCTCAACAAAAGAGCATAGGACATAGTTGAGATTGCAATTTTCAAATGCCTGCCGCTCCGTGTTTTAGGTATGTGCTTGTAGCTGCTGCTGCGACTGCTTCATATTCTTTTAATACAGCTTCGCCGCCCGCAATGGTGACTTTTCAAGTGAGATATACGATTTGTTGTGTTAAAACTTGACGCCTTTTCCCCCTCCTCTTGGAATCCTGGCTAAACATGCTTTGTAAATAGCAATGGCATTGTCCTCTGTTGCAACCGAGAAAAACTTCCAGACCGGTGAAGACGTTCACAGATGTGGACGTAATGAGCGTCACAGTTTTAAAGCTACAGACACAAGCACTCGGAAAGCGAATTAATAAATCAGACCGATTGATTGATTGATTTGACTTTATTGGATCTAGTTTTCTGATTTCATTTATTGGAGCAATAAAAATGACGTTTTTCACCCATATCGCCCGATAATTTATCTGTCCGATAATTACTGTGCATCGCTAACTATAACATCTGAAAAGGCAGCCTTCATGTTTTTTTATGAATTAGGCAAAGCTAGACTGTCTTCTCAAATATTGTAAACAGCAAATTAAACAACACCCGCTTTTTTTTTACTACTGTTGAGAGACTAACACCCCCCCCCCCCACACCCCCCAGGTCACATTCCCAGTGAAATGCTCTCAGGCAGCAAATGCAGTGAGTTTGCTTCCTTTTTCTCTGAGAAAATCAATAATATCATGTAGGCATATCCTTGAGTTTCGCTGAGGTCAGAGAGATCCGACCACAACCTCAAAAAATTACTTCAACTGATTTCAAAAATAATTTATGACAACATTTTGTAAGAAACAATACAGAACCTTAAAACTTCAACCTGTGCAAATCTCCTAGAAGTGTTATGCCTGGTTCAGATTACACGATTTTTGTTTGCCTGTTACGATAGTCACTGTGTCGCGATTTTGGCTCCTAAAATCTTGTCGTGTCGTGGACAAGACACATGTCAGACTACACGATACTTCCTGACCAGTCATCACATGCCGTGTTTAACGCCGCATGTGATGTCATCGAGAAGGCGACGGCGAGTTCCTGGATTGCTCAGCATTGCCTTTTCAGCGTGAGAAATACACGGTGTGGCGTGTGAGTGTGTGAACTGGTTAAATTGCGTGTCTCACGGCCATTGCGTGAGACTTGAGAACCCTGCTCGAAGAGGACAGTATGGGCTGTCAATCCTCCAAAGAGAACTTGAGGTAAAATATTGCTTTCTTATATATTTGTACTTCTAGCTAGTTTTAACGTTAGCACCATCGTCTCTCTTTCGTTTTGTCTTTTTTGTAAGTTGTTTACGGAAAAGCTTGTGCTCCTATTGGTCAACCTCATACATGTGACGGAACCGTCGTGGACGACCGTTAAAAAAATTAAACATGCTAGTCTTTTTGTTGTGATGTCGTGAAGCATCGCAGACGCGACATAGGTTGTCGCCCACTATGACACACTATACGAGATGATACGATCGAATCTTGCGTCCCGACGCCCGTTGTCGTTTACGAATCCCCAGGACACCCTACGTCAAACGGATCGTGCCAAAATCGGGCTAAAATCGTGTAATCTGAACCCGGCATTAAATGCCTCACTTCTTTATGGTACTTTCCCAAACTCTCACAAAAAAGACCAATCCGGATAACCAGCCCATTCTCACCCCCAAGGCGTCACTTAACTGAAGCCTTGGGAAGCATTTGGACATGCTTCAATATCTGACGCTTTAGGCGCCCTTTAGCGTCAGTTAGATGACGCCCTAGGATCGCGTGTACCCTACCCCCACCCCACACCTAAACCTAACCGCGTCCTCTACCTGACGCTTTCCTTTAGCGTCAGTTAGATGATGCCGTAGGATCGCGTCATGTAAGTGGCGCCTAAAACGTCAAATATTGAAGCATGGTCAAAGGTGATGCCTTCGGGTGAGAATGCGTTGGGATAACACCATATTGAGCAACTACAGACCATTCTCAAAATCTTCCTTTCTTAGGCAAGATCATTGAAAAAGTTGTTTTCAATCAGCTGAACAAATTCTTAGTACTCGGACGATTTTCAATCTGGTTTCCGACCGCATCACAGCACACAGATAGTCATAAAGACAATAAATGATATTCGCCTAAATAGCGATACAGGTAAAACATCAATTCTGGTACTACTCGACCTCAGTGCTGCATTTGACACTGTCGATCACAACATACTTCTTGACAGGCTGGGAAGCTGGGTGGGGCTATCTGGGATAGTCCTAAAATGGTTCAGGTCATACTTAGAAGGGAGACGTTATTATGTGAACTATAGGAGACCACAAGTCTGAGTGGAAATCCTTGACATGCGGAGTCCTTCAAGGCTCAATTCTTGCATCGCTCTTGTTCAACATCTTTATGCTCCCACTGAGCCAAATAATGAGAAAGAGACAAATTGCTTACAGCTGTGCAGATCACACCCAGATCTACACTCTTTTAGGGTGCTTTCACACCTGCCTCATGTAGTTCGGTTGAATCGCACTATAGAGTTCGTTTTCCCTCTTGGTGCGGTTCGTTTGGGCACGTGTGAAGGCAGCAATCGCACTTGGGTGCGCAACAAAGGCGGACCAAACAAGCGTCGGTACACTTTCAAACGAACTCTGGAGCGGTTCGTTTGTGTTGAGAATGTGATCCGACCTCGAACAGACCCAACTGCCAAATAATAACGCATTTTTGGACTAAACCAGCTGCCGTAGGAAAACAAAATTATTATTTACATAGCCAATAGCGCTCCCTTTAAGACATGACTGACTTACCGCGTTCTGCACTCTCACTAAATCACTCATCATCAGTGTTGGGAGTAACGCATTAAAAAAGTAATACATTACAGTAACATATTACTTTTTGCTGTAACGCAGTAGTGTAAGGCATTACTAATCAATTTTCAGTAATATTTTACTCGTTACATGTTCAGTCAGGCTTGTATTACAGTTGTATTACAGTGTATTTTACTTCTTAAAGGCAACAGACTATGTGAAAGTTTTAAAGCAGTCTTTTTGTGCCAGTTTAGAGCGGTCGCGTCTGTAACATTGTTTTTTTCCTCATAAATGCGAACACGAAAACTAAAATGCCAACCCCAACCCCTTAACAGAATTACAAAAAAATATATTTTGCCTCCTATTTTTTTTTGTCAC